ACAGCCTGGTCTACATAGCAAGTTCCAGGCCAGCTGGGGCTACAGGAAGACCCTGTCACAAAAAGACAAAAAAAAAAAAAAAAACCAAACAAACAAAAAAACCCAAAACTAGAAATAGATCTATCACAAGACCCAGCTATACTACTCTTGGGCATATAACCAGAAGACTCCATAACCTCCTACAGAGATACTTACTCATCCATGTACTCTGCTGCTCTGTTCATGATATCCAGGAAATGGAAACAGCCTAGATTATCCATCAACTGATGAATGGATAAAAAAAAATGTGGTACAACTGGACAAATGGTGCATACAACTTTGATTCCAGTTTTCGAGGCAGGCAGATCTCTATACGATCAAAGCCAGCCTGGTTTCCATAGCAAGTTACAGGGAGACTGTCTCAAAAAAGAGAGAAGAGAGAGAGAGAGAGAGAGAGAGAGAGAGAGAGAGAGAGAGAAGGGAAGGAAGAAAGGAAAAATGTGGTACATATACTAAAAAGAATAATTATTCAGCTATTAAGAAAAATCAAGCTATGAAATTTTCAGATAAATGGATGGAACTGGAAAGAATCATCTTGAGTGAGGTAACCAACCTAGACCCAGAATAACAAACATCTTATGTGTTCACTCATATGTGGATAGACATGCTTCTTTCATTTGGAATACCACTAGAGGCTAGGAAACTAATAAGGGGCCATGGGAGAGGGAGGAATCTTTCAATGGAAGGACTATAGAATATATAATATAAAGGGGGAAAGGCAATAATGGAAGAAGAGGGATTGACTGGGTAGGGTAGAGGAGGAACTATGGGGAGGGATAACTAATATTAATCGTCTTTTGAAAAACTTGGAAACATACAATTGTAAAAACTCTCTAAAATATATATGTGTACATATATAAAAAGAGCTTGGGGGGATGGAGAGATGGCTCAGTGGTTAAGAGTACTGGCTGCTCTTGCAGGAGACCTGGGTTTGAATCCCAGCATCTATATGGCAGTTAACAACTGTTTGTAACTCCAGTTCTAGGAGATCCAATGCCATTTTCTAACCTCCCTGGGCACTGCATGACAAGAGTGCACTTACATACATGCAGGCATAACACTCATACACTTAAAATTTAAAAAGTTTTTTTTAAAAAAAGAAATAGTTTAAATGGAGTTACCCCTTAACAGGGGGACAACACCCCAACTAGGCACCTCATCCAGGCAAACAAAAACTCCAGGACTAGGAATGGGTTACCTCTCTTCAAATTGTTGGCCAGTGGGATCCCACTGATCCCCAAACATTACAGGCTATTTCCATTGCTCTTGTTTTTTTAGCCTCTACAACATGTTGGTAAGACCCTATTACTGAAGACAACACATACTTGACTCATAAAACATTGAGAAATTAATCAGGTACTGACCTAGAAGCTTCATCGCCACTGGCTAGCTTTCATAGTGCTGGAAGGTGCTATGCATGCTACCAGAGGAGAAAAGTAATCATCAAAATTACCCAGCTATTAACCCTGTGAGTTACAAAAACAACTGACTTGGCAAGACGTACCTACTAGTACAATAATGGTGTGAATACTTTGGTGGTAACCAAACACTCTGCAATTGGATTTAAGGCCTTCCCCATGAAATGGAACCCATAGCTAGCACCATTATGGGGGCCAAGAACCTGGGGCTACATAGGTCATTGGCCCTAGGAGAGAACCTGTTACTAACCCTCTACCATAGTATTAAGATGCTGCCTAATGCCTAATTGCTATACTCATAGATCAGTGCCTCTCTCAACCCTCATCAGAGAAGTTTCTTCTTCCAGTAAAAGGCAATCACCACAGAGACCCACAACGTGGTCAGTGTGTAGAGAATAGGAGACCGTGGGATGCTGAGAGGGACATCTGTATTATATTCATCCCCCAAAGCTCGGGAATCTTTGTGAAAGAGAGGGTGGAAAGATTGTAAAAGCCAAAGGTGGTGGGAAGGTATAAGGAAACAGTGTTTTCCAGATAGCAGGGCAGTGGCACATAGGAACTCACAGCAATTGTGACAACATGCACAAGAAATGCCCAAGCTCAACCCTGACACAATTTCAGCATGAAGGGGGAAGTTGGCATGAAGTCCCACTTATAACTAAGGAGCTATTGGCATAGGATAGCTGCTGGGTGAGGAAGTGTTGGCTATATTTCAGGGTGTGGCTCCTGGTAAGTCAACCATGCCCCATGGCTGGTTCCAGAGTTGAGTATTTGGGCAATTTGCACAAATTGGACTCCATGGGGCAGGGAGAGGGGAAGAACAGGAAGATGGGTGGGTAGAGATGGAGATGGATCTGGGAGGAGTTAAGAGGGGAGAATATGATCAAAACACATTGGATGAAACTCTCAGAGGATTGATTAAAACAAAACAACCTAACCCCAAAGATTTAAAGAACATTAGCAACTACTGGCCAAAAGGAGTCAGGGGGCCAATTTGACCTCCTGCACCAAACAATAAAACCAACAAAATATATGGAAAAATATATGGTGGAAAGCAGAGATTTACTTAAATGTGGCTACATTAGGAAGAACAAACAAACAAACATTAACGGACTCCAGCAACCCCAAGTCCATCTTCAAGGGTGACATAAGCTTTAGGTTTAAGTAGAGAAGGAACTGAGGTTGGGGTAAAGAGGCATGCATAACTCAGTATTCTTGGACAAGGTGTAGTCTGGTAGATCATTGGTTCAGTCCTACTTAGGAAAAATGGTCCTGAAGAAGCTATCAACACTGTCACAGTTTGAGGGGAAAATCTAGTCCTTAGGAGATAATTCCTTCTCCTTCAGTGCATGGCCTCAACATTGGGAAGAACTGCCCATTTGGGAATAGACTAGACTGCATGCATGGGAGTGGTTTGAGTTCCAAGTCAGAAAGACACATTATCATCAGTCCTATTGTTCCTGGGATTCAGGGTGACTTAAGAGGAAACATTAAGGAAGTAAATGCAGAGCCAGAGAGGGACAAAATGGAGTTAGGCTGGTGCTGTTCTTCAAATCTAGTTGAGAGTCCAGGAAAATCAAGGTGGGCCTAGTTCATGGCACAGAGTAATTAGATGGCAAGAGGGACAAAAGAAAAGATCTCTGAACATGGAGGGAGACAGCTTGAGTATTCAGCAGAGTACTGAGCAGTGCATTGTGGGAGGAAACTACTGAAGGCCGGGAAAAGAACTGCCAACCAAGTTATAAAGAAAAATAATTGAATTTGGTACATGGTTAGGAATACTGCCTGTTCCCACAAGCTGGACTAGAAAACTAAAGACTCGTGGGCCAGCAGGCACTCAGAAAGGGCATGTCTTAGCACTTATGAATAATGAGCTCGAGACTAAAGGTCACTTTGTGGTCCCACCTCACAACATCTTAAGATTTAGACCCCAAATGCTGAGATAACCTTTTGAGTAACACAGCCACACCTGGAATGTGCTCAAATATATTTATGGGAATATCAAAATCTATAGTGCCCTGAAATCAAAATTTACAGTGTCTAGAATAAGACACATGTTGTCCAATACATGAAAGTGTCCCTCTGATATTGTGAGGTGTTTCAAGGCTGGGTCATCATCTTCCTTTACTGGCTACTGAGCATGTCCACATTTCTAGAGGCGGTAACTCAGAACTCCAGGACTCCTTTGGGATTCCATTCCTGTCTGTAATGTCCTCCATGATCCCTGTGCTGCTCTGACTCTGCATCTTCAGCTCCAC